TAGTAGTTAAGATGCATAACTTACTGTATATAAATAGGAAACTTTTACCTCAAGGCACTTGGTTGTGAAGATATTTGTTTTAACAGTAATATAAATATACGGTTTAGGTACCAAAGTGACATATAAGCAAGTTCCGTCATAGATCCTGTCCACAATGAGCATAAAATTCATCTCATAAAACAACTGCTGGAGAATTAAATAATCCAACAGATGTCACAAAGCTTTTCATGACCAATTGCTGAGTGACTGGTATAATTAGGGGGATATTATCTTGGGCTCAACAGAGCTAAAAAGGCTTTCAGGGCATTTCAGATAAGGAAACAACTTGGATATTTTTGGTAGACAAGTACAAACAAGGTGTGTTCACGCATTCATTTGTTCATTTTCTCTTTCAGCAAATTTTAATTAAGCCCCTACCATGTGCCACACACTAGACTGTGTGTTAGAGATATACAGAAGACAGTCCTTCACAGCCTCAGGAATCAGTGAGGGAGAAACACACAAAGGCATAGCAAATCATACTGGAAAGATGTACAACATTTTCAGAAAACAATACTTTTCTCTGTGGCAAGGTCACAGAAAGCTTCAAAGAGGTAACCTTTAAACTTGAAGGATGAGCAGGAAGAATTTACTAGGTAGATCAGGGCATTCCACGTAAGGGCATTGCGTATATAAAGGCACAGTAGCAAGAAAGAATGTGGCTCTTCTAACACGGCAAAATATTTCAGATGGCAAAAACAAAGCACATATGTGTGCGCTCAGTGTTAGAGGAAGGAGGGACAGGAAGTCAAAGCAGAGGATGCAAGCCAGAGAAGAAATTGGAATGGAAAACAAGGATCAGATGATCAAAGGCTTTGAATGCTATAAGTGAGAAGTTGAATCTAGCAAGTAGATCAGAGTTTCTCAAAGCGTGGTCCATGGATGGCTTGCACCAGAATCATCTATGGAAGAGATATTCAAATTGTTGTTTGGGACTCAGTGGTCATAAAATTAATTTGGTGGTTGGATAAGCATTTTCTTTTTTAAATTTTAATTTCACTTAATTAACATGCAGTGCTATATTAGTTTCAAGTGTACAATATAGTGATTCAGCACTTCCATACATCACCTGGTGCTCGCCATGGCAAGTGTGCTCCTTAATCCCCATCACCTATTTCACCCATCCCCCCCACACACCTCCCCTCTGATAACCATCCATCTGTTCCCTAGAGTTAAGAGTCTGTTTCTTGGTTTGCCTCTTTCTCTTTTTTTTTCCCTTTGCTCATTTGTTTTGTTTCTTAAATTCCACATGAGTGAAATCATATGGTATTTGTCTTTCTCTGAGTTATTTCGCTTAGCATTATAATCTAGTTCCACCCATGTCAATGCATATGGCAAGATTTCATTCTTTTTTATGGCTGAATAATATTCCATCGTGTATATGTAGCATTCTTTATCCATTCATCAATCAATGGGCATTTGGGATGTTTCCTTGTCTTGGCTATTGTAAATAATGCCACTATAAACATAGAGGTGGATGTGGATAGACATTTTTAGTAAGAGTTTGGGACCCATTGGTTATAAAATTAATTCAGTGGGTTAGAAAAGCATTTTCTTTAAAAAAAGAGAAAAAGAAAAGAAAAAGAAATGGAATGCAAAGGCATGGAATAGAGTAAACTGCATGTAGTAAGAACAGTGCTTTATGTATGTATGTATGTGTGCATATGCATGTATTGGTGGAGAAACAAGAGCTATTTCTTCTGTGAGTCACAGTCAAGTAAGTTAAGAAACATGGAGCTAGAGGTTTCTCAAAACAGCATCCCAGACCCCATACTAGACCTAGCAAATCAGTGGGAGTAAGACCTGGAATCTACATTTTTAGCAAGTATGAAGTATATTTTTGAGAACCACTGCTGAAAATTATTTGGAGCCACTGAATTCCTATTGTTTTAGAAGGATATTTTTGCATGCAGAGTGTATAAACTGCTTGGAGGATATTAAGAACAGAGGCAGGAACACAAGTTTAGGGGCTATCAGCAACAGTCCAGCTATAAATGATATAAGTTTACATTCTTACAATGGTAGTGAGAAAAATGGAGAAGATGGTGGAGAAATGGTTAGGGTAGGTGACCAAAAGAGTTTTGCTGGAATAGTGAGGGGTTCATGAAGAGGAGCAGTGGAAGAGAAGGCAGGAAAGATATGCTGGAGCTACATGTGGAAGACTTTCAATTTAGGGCCATTTAGTTTTTAAACTTTTAAAGGAGCCATTTCAATGTTTTAATCAGAATAATATGCTAAAGCACTATTCTAAGAAGATTATTCTACTGGGGTGTGGGGGGAGGAGATTACTACAATTCAAATTGTGAGATGGTAGGTCCCTAAACTAAAGAGGGAGCAAAAGGGCTATGGGGAAGAAAGGGATGTTACAAAAAACTAAATAACAACCAAAAGCACAAATACTGTGAAGGCTCAACCAGCAGGATTGCTCCCTTCCCCAAATCTAAATCCACCTAGGCAGTGCAGTAGAGAGATCGTGAGCCTGGTAGCCAGGCTACCTGTGTTCAAATCCCAGTACCATCACTTACCAACTATATGACCTTGAGAAAACTACTTAATTTTTCTATCCCTTCATTTCCTTATTTATAAAATGGAGATAACAACAATAGTCCCTACCTCATAGGCTGTTATAAGAATTAAATGAAATAAGGGGTGCCTGGCTGGATGAGTCAGAAGAGCATGTGACTCTTCATCTTGGGGTTGTGAGTTCCAGCCCCACATTGGGGGTAGAGATTATTTAAATAAATAAAGAAGTAAAGAAACTTTTAAAAATTAAAAAAGAAATTTAATGAAATAATATGTAACACACTTATTTTGTACTAGGAACTACTCTGAGTGCTATATGAGTGTTATTAACATCATGCCTGGTTCTGGGTTGGTGTAAAAAAACAAAAACAAAAAAACCTAAAAAACGTCTAGAAGGCCCATCTACATTTTCCTTTTTTGCTTTTCCACTGGAGTCAGATCCAGACTTGAATTCCAGCTCTGCCATTTGCTACACGACTTGGGAAAATTAAATAACCACAGCTTTGGAATTCTCTTCTGAAAAGAAGTACCATTACAATGATTAAGTAAATAGCATACATAGGCACCTAACATTTACTTCTTGACATACAAAAAGTACTTAATAAATGGTAGCTATTATTTATGATCTCCTTGTTTTGTGCTACATTTCCCTGTTTTATACTACATCTAAACTTAGACGGACTCTTTATAAGTTTTGGCTTTTACTTGAGTAATGAAAATGAGCAGACTCTTGACCCAGAAATTTTCCACTTTTGAAAATTTATCCTAAGGAAATAATCACACAAGAACTCAAAGTATATATATTCAATGGAGTTGGGTTTTTTTTTAATAAAATGAAAACCTAAACGCTCATTAACAGATGGCTAGATAAACAAATTATGGTCTGTCCAAACAATAGAGTACTCTGTTAAAAAGTAAAATAGATTCAAAAGTACTAACATGGAAAGATATTTAAGATCTATTCCTAAGTACAAAGAAAGAAGCAGCAGCAGTATAGCATGATTCCATTATATAAAAAAATATATATGTATATTTGTGTGTATTCATTTATATTATTTATATATATTTATTTACTGTTTAGTGGATTTTTCTGGGGATGGCACTATCTGGAGTAGTGCAACTGTAAGCACCCTGTATTATTTTAATAGGTAAATGACTACAGCATGCTAAATGTCGGCATCCTACCCTACAGTAGTCACCACTGTAAAAACTACGAGATGATAAGTTGCTAAACTAGGGAGACAGCTATGCATATATAAAGGAAATTCTAGAAAAATACACATCAAATTTAACAGTCGTCTCCTCTGATGAGGAAGGCTGAAGGGGACTTTTGCTTTTAGCATTATACTAAATAGTATGAAAAATAAAGACTAGGGAAAAGAGATGCAGACCTTATGATTCATACAAACACCACACTTGGCTATGAACATATTCCTTAACTTCACTTCATATCACTTAAATTATTTTTATACATCCAGGAAAAACAACCAACCAACAATATAAGGATGTCTTTTTTTTTTTTAAGTTCATTTATTTATTTTGAAAGAAAGAGACAGAGTTCATGAAACCAGGAGTGCCAGAGAGAGAGAGCACCTCCTGGGCGAGAGAGAGAGAGAGAGAGAGAGAGAGAGAGAGAGAGGGAATCCCACGGGGCTCGATCTGAGCCAGAACCAAGAGTTGGGCGCTTAACCAACTGAGCTACCCAGATGCCCCAACAATATAAGGATGTCTTAAATATGACAGAGAAATGTATTCTTTGAAAATTTTATAGTCGTTCAATTCCTGAATTATGCTTATTTAAGTAGCTGCAGAAGACTTACAATGGAGACTAACTGTAGTGTAGGATGCCAGCATTTATCTATCCAAACAACACAGAGTGCTTATAATTGCCAGGCATTATACCGCATCACTCCATCCCTAACAAAACCTACTAACCAGTAAATATCTAGCCTTATACATAAATACACTAATGAAAATATTTTGTATAGCTTCTACTATTTCTATACATCTTCTTCCACACTGGGATTAATTTAAATTTTGCTGTTGAATATGCCCTTGATTTAAATGTACTTCAATATCTTATAACCACAGTGCCTATTCAACATTCAGAAAAGGTAGTGTATACTATCTGCTGGGGTGGCAAAAGGAAGGCCACATTCAAAAAGAATCAGAACATTTTTGAGGTTTTCTGATAGAAAACAATGGCACTTTCCACTGATACCAGAAAGCCTTGTCTGCCAAAGAATTTTTTTTTCCAACACTATGAAAGATTTTAAATATTCTTCATTCTTCAGATACAGGTATACGCTAACAAGTAGAAAAGTGAACATGGAACTTAAGGTAGCTCTTAAAGCACAGGTTTGAGATACAAATAGAATTCACTAACACAAATAGGTCAATACCCAAATAACAGAAATGATTATACCAAGCATACTTACCATTGAAAGGATTGATTCCTGCCCTTATTCTTGATATAATAGCTTCTTTTACTTCTTTTTTCTTTACACATCGAATACCCAAATTTTGAAAACTAGAAGGAAAACAGAACTTTCAAACTGCTTTACAGTTAAATACAAAGACATATAAATGAGGCTTTACCGAAGGATACTGCAAAAATCAAGCATATATCCTATACCTATGTCAAATATACCAAAATAGATGAGGATTAACAGGAAAGTGACACCACAAAGCTAAAACTGACCTCCCGAACAAAAAAGTTGTAAAAAGATGTCCATAAGCTGAAGCCCACTTAGTATGTTTTACTAAGCCCATAAAAGTGTCACCTACCTTAAATAAAAAAACAAATGCGCACAGTTAACAATCAAGTTAACTGAATATAAACATATGGATATCTGGCTTCTCTTCAACATTCTAAAGGTCTGGCAACAGTAGACTGGCACAGAAACACCTGGCTAGAGCTGAGTACCTGCAGCCCCACTTATGCAGGGCTCTCCAATTTACTATAGTGCCTGCTAGTCCTCTTATCCCTGATCCATTCCACAGACATTTGATTTCTGAGCCCTGACTTCACTGCTAGTAGCAATGGAATATGTTCTATGCTATATTATATGAAGCTATAATAATCATTCATAAGAAAACACTGAAACATTTTAAATTAGAAAGTTGTTTAATGTGAATAATATTTAACAAAAGTTTTAAAATGTCATTTATGGAAAACTTCTCAATAGCTACAAATATTACTAATTTGCATATTGTAGCATAGATGGTGGAGGGGGGGAACTCCCCTACCACCACCAGTCATACTTGTTCCCACATGGAAAAACCATGACATCATTAAAGCTGGGTGGGTGTGAATAAGGAAGCAAAACTTGGTTATAATAACATTACTATTTGTTCAAACTTCATAACAGCACTTTGCAACAGGAGGCTGCCTGCCTTGTTTGCCCTTCTCCATGCTCATGCTGTCTTATGTTCTTGCTCTTCACCTTCACCATACTTGTGATTTTGTTAGCACCTAAGATACCTTTGACATTTCTTTCCTCTGCTTCCAATAATTAAAAAATAAATCTGGAATACGTAATCCCTTCTCAAAACCCTGAAACCATAATCCTCTTCCTCAAAAGTATTCTACTTCTTTGAAAGATTCATAGCTTGGTTCTCATTTTTCTTTGACAAAAAATTTAATGAATGAAACTTTGGATTCTTACTCTGTACCAAAACTGTCTGGAAAGTTATGGGGACATACAATCCCTCCCCTCACGCAGCTCACAGTCTAGCGCAGGGGCTGACAAACTATTGCCCCCAGACCATATCTGGTCCGCCACCTGTTTTTGCAAACACAGATTTTCTGGAACACAGACAAGCCAATTTGTTTACATATTGTCTAGGCATGCTTTCATGCTACAAGAGAATTGAGCAGTTTCAACACAGACCATATGGCCTGCAAAGTCTAAACTATTTACTATCTGGCTCTTTACAGAGAAAGTTTGCTGACCTCCAGTCTAGTGAAACAGATATAGCAGTATTAAATAATCACATGCAAAGACAAATGCCGGGGCGCCTGGGTGGCTCAGTTGGTTACGCGTTCGACTTTGGCTCAGGTCATGATCTCATGGTTCATGAGTTTGAGCCCCGTGTCGGGCTCTGTGCTGACAGCTCCAAGCCTGGAGCCTGCTTCAGATTCTCTGTCTCCCTCTCTCTCTGTCCCTCCCCTCCTCACACTCTGTCTGTCTCTCTCAAAAATAAATAAAAATATTAATAATAATAACAATAATAATAAAATAAAAAAACAAAAGACAAATGCTAAACTGAAATCCTAACAAATTTGATAAGGGGGACATACACTTTGTCATAGGAGCCTTTGATGGGAGACACTTGATCAATTCTAGATGGACAAACAGGTTATTGTATGAACTGATACTTAATATAAACAGAAATGTAGGGAAGAGAAGAGTAAAGTGACTTCAGGCAGGAGGAACAGAACAAGCAAAGGTCCCTACAGAAGAGCATTGTAAACACAGCAAACTAAAGGAAGGCCTCTATGACTGGAGTATAAAGTTCAAGGAAAGCACAGTATAATGGCAGGCTACAAATACAAGGAGACCATGCGGACCTCACAGGCCAATAAGGAATGCTGTCCTTATTCCAAGAGCCACATAAAGCCATTAAAATATTTTAAATGGGGATTTGACATTCAGATTTGTATTTGAAAAGCTCACTCTGAATAAATTAACTTAACTTTTACAAAAGATCACTTTGGCTAAAGTGGAGAACAGACTTGGGGAGCAGGGGGGAGAGGGGGAGTACAAAAAGATGCAAGCAGATGAGTCAGGAGGCTATTCTGGAAGCTTACATTTAGACTACAGGTAGTGTGGTGGTGATGGAGGTCACTGAGGAAAGTGCATAGATTCAAGAACTATTTAAGAAATACTAGTTAATGAATTCAAAGTATGCATCTGTGGGAGGGGTGTCATGGATGATACCCAAGTTTGGGGCTTTTATAGCAACCACTGAGATAAGGCACATTGGAAGAAGCACTGAGAAAAAAGTATGATCATGGTACAAGCACGGTTTTGGGAATACTCTATTTGAGGTGTTTTGATATTTACAAGAATATGTCAAACAGACAATGGGACTAAATACCATTCTCCACTGAAGGGAACCAGGGCTCCTTAGAAAAAAACTGTTTTCAGAGCTGGGGCAAGAAAAGTACAAGTAAGTCTTGAACACTTTGCTGTGTCAGAAAGTAAAAAAGTGCTCAAAGAAAGATGGGAACATATCAAAAGGACATAGGAAACAGGCTGAAGGGGCTTGCATTGGTCAAATATGGGTCAACCCGAACATCAAAATAATAATGCCAATAATGGACTACAGTACAGTGTATATAAGAATCCATGGGTCTACAGTGCTATTTTTTTTTTTAATAGGAAAGGGGAAAAAGGGAAAGTTTTTTTTTACAATAGAATGCTGATTAACATCACCAATGGAAAACACTAATATCCCATGTCTCCTGAAGGGATATTTTGAGAACAACATAGCAGCACCTCTGTAGATTTCTCATCCAAATTGTTTCGGGTTAACATGAATGTATTATTCGTGTTACTAACATGAATATAAACCAGCAACCATTCAGACTAATCCACACTGAACATAATCTTCAAAACAGCCCAGACTCTTCAAAAATGTTAATGTCATGAAAGACCAAAAAAGACTGGGAAACTGTTCTGAATTAAGGGAGATTTTAATAATCATGACAACTTAAATAATCATGACAAGTAAATACAATATGTGATCCTTAAACCTGGATTGGGGGGATAAACAGGACAGCCATAAAGGGCACTGTTGAACATAACCAAGATAGTTCAAAAATTTAACTGCCTGTAACTAAGATCGAGAAAAGCAGGAAGTAAAACAGGAGAGGTTATTTTCACAGAAATCAAGAAATAAGAATGTTCTAAGAAAGGAAGGGTCTACAGTGTAAAATGGCATTGGGAGGTCAAATAATATAAATAGGAAATATTTCTTGCCACATGTGTATTACTAATTATTTTTGGTTTATGTTGTTATTGTGAGAGAACATTTTTAAGTATATTTTCTAGGAGCGCCAGGATGGCTCAGTCGGTTGAGCATCCGACTTCAGCTCAGGTCATGATCTCACAGTCTGTGAGTTCAAGCCCAGCATTGGGCTCTGTGCTGACAGCTTGCAGCCTGGAGCCTGCTTCAGATTCTGTGTCTCCCTCTCTCTCTGCCCCTCCCTTGCTCATGCTCTGTCTCTCTTTGTCTCAAAAATAAATAACAACATTAAAAATAATAATAAATTTAAAGTATATTTTCTAAATAGTCACTACTAATACAGAAGGAGGCTACTAACATTTTCCCTGTTGTAATTAGGTTCATTTTTTCCCCAAAGGCAATATATGTTTATCACAAAAACGAACTATAGAATAAACACAAGTTAAAAGAAAAATATAAAACCCCACAATCTTACCCACCAAGAGACAACTATTAATACCAAGTATATGTACACATACATTTTTTAAAAAAATATATTTTTAATCACATATTGTTTTAAAACCAATTTATCTTACATAGTGTGAATATCTTTCTATACAAAGAGATATTTGCAATGTTATATTTAATGCCTGGATGTACCAGTTTATTTAACTAGTCCCTCTCTGTTTATTACTTCAATTGCTTCAAACTTTTTACTTTTACTAACAAAGCTTCAATGAATATCACTATAGTTAAATTAAGCTTAATTGTTTCCTGAGGATAAACTCCTAGAAACAGAATTGCCGGTTCAAGAGACATTCATATTTTTCAGGTTTTTCCTATGTTAAAGTGCATACCAGAAGGATTTTATTAATTTGTACTCTCACCAACATGATAATGGACCCATCTTGTGGCAGCCTCACCAACACCAAAGTGTTAAATGATTTTTTTTATCTTAGAATTACTATTGTATGTTACTTTTATAACCTGTCCTTTTCTAAATAATAATTCCAGTTTTCCAGTTGATTTTCTCATATTTGGTGATTTTTATCTATTAATGAAAGGACAAAGTAAAATATATGAAAGAAAACCTTTCATAAATTGTTCAAACTAAGAAAGAAAATCACAGCATGAAATAATTTTATGTATACCTTCAGTAACAATAAGTATTCCTGCTACCATCATAGGCTGTCCACTAGTAAAGAATAAAAGGGTGGTTCTAAGCAAATGGTAAGAAAATTTAAAGGTACACTATAGTAAATAAAAGTAGAATGATAAGTTACTCTATTCTGCTAAAAAATAACAGATGTACATGCATAGTAAACAGAGCATCCTATGCTTATCCTATTCCTAAAGAGATCTGTGACTGTGTACTTACAACAAGGGTCTGCGTTCTTGTCCGAACTCTGCTTCATAGTAGCCATCTCGGCAGTCTTTTCCTACTAAATCATGAGGATGAGGTTTATATGGGTCGTTCTTTGTTACTAATGTAATTCTCACTTTTCCCTTTCCATAATAGTTCATAATCTGAAAAAGGGGGAAATTAAAGATATAATCCATAAATTTATCTCATTAAGAATTGATCTACTAAATGAGAGTTGAATATATATAATGCAGTTAGCACCAGATAAATAAAGTCCAGTTGACTGGCAAATGCAGTTTGGATGAAACTTTCCAGAGAATACCAGAAGGGAAGAATTTACCTCTCAGTTCTCTGGAGTACTATTTTCTGCATTAATTTCAATTGGTCACATAATCTGATTCTGACCATATTCCTTTTAAAACAAGTTATACCATAATATTATCATGGAGCATGAGAAAACACCTGAATGTTGGGCCACGGAATGCCAGGCTTTTCTGTTCACTGTCATACCATAAATACCCCTTCAAAGTATATATTTAAGCCACAGTAGAAATGACAGCACATTGTGAAGAAACTGGGTCTTTAATGTAATTGCTATAGCTAAAATATGAAGCAATTAAGAGTTAGGTACACACAGGAAAATGGTCTATTACCTGGATAGATGGGTATGTTCGGTTGTTGTCTGTGCTGTGCTCCCCTGGAATGCTGCCTGCTGACCGCCCTTCACATTTGTATCTAAAACGCATTCCCCTCTGCCTGGGCTGTTCAATTATCTCTATACATGGGTTATACCCACCTGGAAATTTGAAAAAGAGGGAGAGTGAAATTAGAATAGCAGTAATAATGGATTTAACCATTTTGTTTCTTTCAAAACAGCAGACTAAAAATTTTTCCCTCCCAATATTAAATAATAAAGTTGAAATGCAATTACCCAAGGTTGAATGGTAAAGGCACCTTCTTCTCCCACTCATAATTAACATAATGTTAACACAAATCACTCAAATCATATTTATTAGGTAGCACTCTATCATTTAATATCTACAGCTAAATATGAAGCAATTCATAGAGTGTGAAGTTCTGAGACACCCACTTCAGAGATATCCACTTCTCATATGAGAACAAGTAGAAGGGTTTCCTCCAAGATTCCCACAGAAGGGTCAAGAAGATAGTCTTCAGAAGTGCAATATCATACTCCAAAAGTGAGTTTAACTGCTTGATTTTGCATTAGACTCTTAACAGTACTAAAAGACGGCTAATTGAAAATGAAAATACAGGGGCGCCTGGGTGGCTCTGTTAAGCGTCCAACTTCAGCTCCAGTCATGATCTCACGGTTTTGAGTTCCAGCCCCATGATGGACTCTGTGCTGACAGTTGAGAGCCTAGAGCCTGCTCTGAATGCTGTGTCTCCTTCTCTCTCTCTCCCCTCACCCCCACACGCTCACTCACTCTTGCTCTCTCTCAAAAATTAACATTAAAAAGAAAGAAAAATAAGAAACTGAAAATACATTTAAATCCTTGCAGAAGGATATGTTTTTTAAATATCTCCATTGGAATCTTAAAGGATTGATACATAGTATATCCAAACAAGTTCCAGAAGTGATTTTAAGCTCACCACAATTTTCAATCAGTTCCATCTAAACCTTTACTAAAGTATGAGACACAACAGAGGAAAAGAAAATAATTACTCACTTTCTATAACAAATGTCATTTAAAACATGCAACTTTATGCTGACTGAAAGAAACCAGACCAAAAGCACACATACTGTAGGATTCCATTTATATAAAACTCTAGAATATATAAACTAACTATAATCAAAGAAAGCAGAACACTGATCGCCTAAGAACAGGGGTGTGGAGTGGATGAGGAAACTTGGGGGATGATGGATATGTTAATTATCTTGACTGTGATCATGATTCTTAGAGTCGTATTTCTATGTCAACAGTTATCAAACTGCATACTTCAAACATGTGTAATTTATCATACGTTAATTATATGTCAATAGAGCTGCCCTAGAACACGTGCATGTTTGTTTACCCCCTCTTATGATCCATATTGTGGAAACGAAAGCTCAGTGGAGACACTCAAGTGTGCTTACAAGTAGGGTACTTAGCAATGTGTCTTTACTTCAGGGAGGTAAAGACGTCTTCCATTAAAAAAAATTCCCTCAATCAGCTTACTGACTTTTAAATTCCCACAATTAGATAATCAATTTCTTTGACTAAAGACTTCTCTTCTGTTAGAATGCAAGAAAACTCTTCAAAAGGGTAACACAATGGGTCTTCCCAGTACAGTATGAGGAAGAGGCCTTGTGAGTCCTACTTAGTCCTATCTTAATAGCAAACACACTGGAAATGTTGTATCTTATAAGTCTCCTACTCTATAAAATGTGAATAATAATAACAGCACCTACTTCATTGGGTTGTTGTGAGGATTAGAGGTAATGTGTGTTCGGTTCTTACCAAGTAACACACCTATAAGAAATACTCAATACATGTTGTCTACTATTATTAATTTCAAATGCTTTCTTGAAAACAATGATTTTATAGTGATACCATGATGTTATAACAACTGGTACTTTCAAGACTTTAGAAAACAATGAGGCAGGGGTGCCTGGGTGGCTCAGTCGGTTAAGCAGCCGACTTCCGCTCAGGTCATGATCTCACGGTCCGTGAGTTCGAGCCCCGCGTCGGGCTCTGTGCTGACAGCTCAGAGTCTGGAGCCTGTTTCAGATTCTGTGTCTCCCTCTCTCTGACCCTCCCCCGTTCATGCTCTGTCTCTGTCTCAAAAATAAATAAACATTAAAAAAAAAATTAAAAAAAAAAACAATGAGGCAAACAACACAAATTATTAGACTACAGGAGAGTCCAACAAAACAAAATTTTGTTTATGCTAACAAATTGTGCATAAAATGACAGTAAGAGCAAAAGAGTCAGACATGCCTGTGTTAAAGGAAAAAGAATGAATGAAGCAAAAGGGTGGAGAGAGCAGAGGGGGAAGGGAGAAAGGTAGGCATTCAGCAGGGAGTCCAAAGTCGTGGCAGCACAGAAAAGAAAGTTTAAGAATCACCAATATAACCATAATGAACGTGTAATACACTTTCACCTTTAGAACCAAATGCCAGAGTACACTGGGAATTTGGATTTCCTTCTGAGTGACAAAGAATCAATGAATGGTTTTGTGCAGGGGAACCATATGATCAGACTGACATTTTAGAGTAAGAATTCTGATGGCAGTGGACAGATTGGAAAGAAAGGAGAAAGCATGATGATCAGTTCAGAGGCTGTTATGCTACTGTGCCCAATGATGAGGGCACGTCTGACATATGGTAGTGATAACAAGGATGAAGGATTATTGAAAACATAAAATTAACACTCCTTGGTGACTGAACATTAGGGTTAAGAGCAAGTAAACAATCACTGAGGCTCCACAGTTTCTACTTTGGGTTACTGAATGAAGTGCTAATGTTACCTTTAATTAATTGGTTGGTTCAGACTCCTGTTTGAATTTACTACCTATTTGTTTAGGCAAAAGACAAAGAGCCAGGGAAAACGGACTTTAACCTAATCTTGTTCCTAACACTTATTTCAATTTTACTGAAAAATGTAAGGCATGCAGATGAGTGTTTCAACTTCACATATTTCAAATAACTCAAATTCACATTTCAGTTTCAAATATTTCGTATCCTTCTATATTACTGAAGGAGTATTTGAAAATAAAGTACATTTTCCTCTCAATACTCAACAATATTTTAAAGTGATATATAAAATAATTTATGTGGTTGAACTAATGGTCAAATAAATCCCTGCCCACTATTTATTTAAAGGTGGTTGGTGGGAAGTTGATATAGAATTACATCATTAATGGTAAGTGGCTAACTTTTGGGAGATGAGTGTGAGTAAAAGTGCTAGTTAGGCTTATAGTGATTTTTCAAATATTTCATTGGTTACACAACACTACCTTAAAGTAGAAAGTGTTGTTGAAAAAAGGCTATAGACAAGAAAAGAGCAGTTGCTGAAAGATTAAAATAATTTTTAAAAATGTGAAATTATAAAAATGAAAAATATTAGTTATCATATAACATCAAGTACTTAAAACCCTTTGAAATCTATTCTTCCTATTGAAGAAGCTCTTTATTGGTAAAAAAAAAAAAAAAAAAAAAAAAAAAAAAAAAACAAAAAAAAAAACAGTCTCATGAGCAACCAACAGTTTATTATAATATTCTACATTCCCCCAGCTAGAAATAATCTCCCCCTCCTCTAATTTGCCATAGTATTTTGTTTATGACAATTATTCCAAATTACTATAATTAAGGGGAGACTCACTGTTTTATTTCTTCTTGAAAAAAAGCAACTTGTTTTATTTCATCAAGTTACTGGTCTTATTTCTTTTCAAGCTACTTGAAGGCAAGAATTGTGACGTATTCATCAGTGCCTTATACACTGATATTCGGTAAACATCTGGAGAATGAATAACTGAAAATCTAAAAATCTTTTTGTTTGTGTAAGTTACACAAACATTGAAGGATCATACTGATGATCCTTCAGTAGGTTTCCCTACTAAGGAAAAAAACCAGTGCTTTGTGGGTACCAGAATTGCTACACTTTTCTAATCTTCATACTTATTTACAGTCTAATTTATCTGTATTTATGATTTAAAACTACTTCCCAACTATAAATCACTTATATCACGCATCAGTACAGTGTACCAGTTATTTCCTTCCTCAGTGCTCTGTCTTAAAATGCCACTCTCCTGAAAAAAGTGCTGAAATGTAGTCATCTACGGAGTGGAAGAAGGTAAAATACCAATGAGGGAATTGTAGGGAAAATAAGTACTCTCAACTAAGATGATCTCAAATCACTACAGTTTTGAAAAGTTGAAATTTCTTTTAAGTAGTTCTTGATTACTGCACTTTTCTTTAACCAATACTATACAAAAGCTAGGGATGACCCCTGCATTTTTAACAATATTGTAAAACATCTGAAATATAGCCAAAATATTTGCAAGATATATTCATGTTTTTATTTGCACTTAGGCAAAAAAAAAGGGTGCTAGTTGAGTTTTTAAGATAAAAAAAAAAAATTACATTGTGGGGTGCCTAAGTAGGTCAGTCAGTTAAGTGGCCAGTCCTGATTTCACCTCAGGTCATGATCTCATGGTTCGTGGGTTCAAGTCCCTCATGGGGTCCTGCACCGGCAGCAAGAAGCCTGCTTGAAATTCTGTCTTCTTCTCTCTCTCTGCCCCTCCCCCACCTGCACACACGCTCTCTCAAAAATAAATTAACTTAAAAAAATTTTTTTTAATTACATTGAAATAAAAGTTAAAAATGGAGCTTCAATTGTCAGAAATAGACACCTTAACTAAAACCTTATAGCCAGCACTGGGAACCAGTGTTAATTGTTCAGTAAAAAGTTAACTACAGTAATTATAACACTGTTTTAAAGTACTCTTACATATATTCTTATTTGATCCTCTAAACTTTAATCTTCATAAAAACAGAACAGGAATTATTATCCCATTTTATAGATGCTAAAGCTCAACATTATGAAGTTATAAGAAAAAGAAATTATAAATGACATTAGCAAATATGATAGCTGGGACCCCAATGGATCAAATTAAAAAACAAACAAACAAAAAAACCCAAGCATAAAAACCACTGGGGGTAAAGTCACAATAACTGATTACAGCAAATAACCTAAAATAAATGCAACTTAATTTAAGAAGATAATGCATCTTGGTATAGGGAAGTCAGTATTTAGATCCAATGAAATTCCTGGAACAGAGTTCACAGTGGGGGTA